TAAACAATGGAAGCCAGAGTAGACACTGAAAGAATTAATTTGTGCCAGAAATTACGCCATCTGAGGACAAACCCTTATGCCTGTGAATGGGAGGATGAAAAATGCTTTCTTTTAGCTTTGAACATTTCTTCATGGTTTGAATGCAGCTCCATTCCTTTGGTAAGGACTGCATAGTAACTCTCTTTTCCCCATGGATTCTTATGGGTGGTCTGTATCATGCCTTCCTCATGTGATCCCTGAAGTTAATGACCTCCTCTAACTCTTTTCAAGAAACAGAATTTTGCATTGTCCTAGATCAAGCTTGTGAGTAAATTCCAGAATCCACCTCTGTCTCATAAAGCTGATGTTCTTCATTCATAGATTCATTTCTCTCAGCAGCAATTCATTAGGAATGGTCTGCATCACCGTTTCCTCTCGAATAAGGAAAATCAGTAATAGGTAGTAAGAATATTAATAGTGCAGTTATCAGTCACAGTGGAAGGAAGGATGAAGTGATGATTCACTGTTCCAAAAATCTCATCATTTGTTTATAAGCCAAGAGAAAATAGATGTCTATCCGAAGATTTTTGAGGAAACATAGGAAACCAATTAGGTAATTTTGAAATGTGATAAGTCATATTACATGTTTGAGAAATTCAAGAGCAATGATATCTGTGGCGGGGTTTAAAGCAAAATGCTGGGATAGTTTTAGTGAGATTTTTCCCAAGAATAAGAAACATAACAGAAAGCATAAACATGCTTACTTTCAAATTTAGGAAATGAAGAATAACTGCTGAGATCAGCAGTTGTCTATAAGAAGGATTTTTTCAGTGTTGAACTACAACTTAATGTTCTGTTAATGTTCTGTGTCTTCATGCAGTGTTGAAGAAAAACAAATTCAGAAATACAGAGAGACAAGATGACTAAATATTTGCTACTGTATCAAGAGCAGAGAAAAGAAATCACAATATTTAGAATGGAAAATGATAGGAGTTTAGCTGTATGGATGAATATAAAGAACTATATATTAGAGATATGCCAATGAATTCAGATTTAGACAAACTTTAATTTTCAAGATGTGAGAATAAACCCCTTAGATACAAAGATGGTGCTCAAGTGATGGTCTTGAATAAGGTTTCATCCACAAGACTAAAGAATGAAGACTAAGAGACATGAATTAGGAAAATGTTGCACTTGAGACACCCATAATAAAAGGTCAGAGGCAAGTTGTGCTATTAGTTGAATGAACATACTTATTTCCTCCCAGGGACTCTCATCTTCTTCAGGGCTATACAGAATAGGACAAAGCCAGGGCTTCACACATTCCAAATCTGTGTCTTCAACTAGTTTGCAAAAATAAGTTTTCCAGTAAAAATATATCTTACTGTTATATTTCCAGCTGCTTCTTGTCACTTTAATCATTTGATCTGATTTCTGTTTTCAAACAGTCCATAGTTCTTCACCTTGCATTTTGTATTTACCTCACTTTCCTTCTGATTGCACTAGACCATATTTTTAAACAGACACCCCTCTTTATATCAGGAGAGAAAACAGTGTAAAGAACAGCACATCTTTAGGGATTTTTTTTCTGTAGTCGTCTTAAATTAAGAATGTGTACCTTATTTCTAGTCTGACTGCAGTATTTATTAATATTTAGACATTGAACTTTTTTCCACCTTTTGGACAGATGAAGACTTTCACCTTGAAATCCACCTGAAGATAGTTCAAGATGAATCTGAAGCTAAATTTGGGATGCAAGGGAGGTTTCCCTGCAGACCATGATTAGCTTATTTTATAAATGAACCAAACTGAAATTTCTTTGTGAAGTGTTCCTGTATTGCAGATTCTGTGAATCTGTATTTTTTCAGTATATATATATATATTTGGTATACACCTTGGGATGTATACCAAAGGCCTGCACATGTGATTCTAGCAATGGAATCAATTATACCATACGGATGAAATATGGTATCTATAATCTGTCTTATATGTCTTCAACTTATATAGTTAAGAGCTACATTAATCTTAGTCACTGTATTTTGCTGGGAGCTTGTGTTCAGTTGGTTACTCACCAGACCCCAAAGGCTTTCAGAGACAAAGGCTTTCCAAGAAATATTTGTGTCCGTGAGTGTGACCTACTTTCTGTGTTCCTAGATGCACAATCTTGCATATGGCAGCATTAAAATGCATGATGTTTAAAAATGTATTCAGATTACTGAGTGATTCAGAATTCTGTATATATTATTTATCACTTGAGTCAATAATCATGTCTCATGGAAACTTTGTAAAAATTGATTTTATTATATATTTCTAATCACCAATACACAAACTAAATAACACTGAATCCAGAACAGACAGCATTAAACTCATTAATTTGTTTATGATTTGTCATTTACAATTAGTTTTGGAGAGAGTGTAATAATAAAGATCTTTGTTTCCTAGCATACATAACACAAATGACATTACACTGACTGTTGCTGAATGCCAAGCTAGAAAGTCACATAATAAGACAAGTGACATGCTTTTGACATTGCCAATCAGATTTGTAATCACCTATAAAGACAGTATCAGATTTACTTTTTATATGTATATGAAAATTGTTTCCATTAAATTTATCAATTTAATTTGCTATCATACTTGCCATTAATGCTTTTGCCAAGGAGAGGCAGACCTATCAAAGTGAAAACTCTCTTGGGCTTGAAATCCATCAATGGATGTGTGTGGAGTCTGCACAATTGTAATAAGTCTTTTTAATTAGTCTCAGCCCTAAGAAACCACCCAGCCTATTGTTACACGACACATATCAGTTCCCAACTCGCATCAATGTATAATTTAAATATCATTCATACCTTAGGATTTATTTGAAAATTATTTAAGAAAACATCATTCCAGATACCAGAACTGCAACATAATTAATTGTCTTTTTATAACATACATTTTTTTATAACATAATTATCAAGTCTTAATATTCCTTTTCAGTGTCTGCAGTAAAGTTTGTTGAACACAAAGTAGTTAAAAATAAGGCATGATATATAAAAACACTGTGTTCCCTTGAATTAAGAGAAAACCTTTTGATGTGCTTGAGAGGTTGTTGTTTGTGTACTCTGTCCTTCAACTTAAAATAACACCAAAAGTGAAAGAATGAAAAATGACAATAATTAAGAAGAAGCTGATCCTTCAAATTTGTTTTTTATGGATATTCCTGCTCTGTATTGCAAATGCTGAGATTTTAAATACAGAATGCTTCAGACTATTGTTCACAGTCTTTTCTTCAAGGTTAATTAATTTTGAAATTAATAGAAGGAAAGTCCATAGCAATTCATTTGCCTATATACCCAATCTTTTGTTAATTGTACTAAAAATGATTAAGCATGTAACTGTGCTTTTGCCTGTGCAGACAGACACATATGTGAAAAACTCCTAAGTGTAGTGAAGGATCCAGAGAAGTTCCTTTCTTTTCATCTTTTCATTTGGTAATAAATTTCAGTGGTGTTGCTCCTTGTGCCACTCAGAAGAACAGAATCTGGTAAAAGTTGTATAATTCCCTGTCATACTTAGGGGGATTTGACCAAACACAATATAAACAGGGATGTCAGTACTGATATGCACCCACCAATGTCTTTAAATACGATGCCATTATAAGAAAATTCTTCAGTGACCAGTGCCAGTTTGTCAGTCCTCAGCGTGTGTTGCTGCCTGGGGTTCTTCCTTTTCAGGTGCAATGCTTGTTTTATTTCTTGAGACTCCTGTTGGGCCCTTCCTCCATCCTGCCTGAATCCCTTTGGATGGGATTGATCCATGATCAGATTTACTGCCCTTGATCACGTTTACTGTGTTTCCAAATTTGAGGTTGAGGTCACTTGCAGCCTTGATGAAAGTGCACTCTGTTGCTAGCTGCAGGTCCCTGATAAAGCTGTTAAAGCTGGCAGGTCCCAGTGCAGAGCCCCGTGGTGTCCTCTTGCCGTAGCAGCCACCTGTAATGCTCCCCTCTGGCCACCCCTCCCTGACCCTGCTCATCCAACAAGGCTTTTGCCATCTTCTTGTCCAGCTATGGGCCGTGATGGTCTAATTTGGCTAAAAGAAGTAATGAGTTATGTCTTAGCTAGATGTGTGAAATGAGCCTGTCAAATGTCAAAAATACATCCCCCATAACTACTAAGCAGACTTCCTTCTGATTACCTTCAAGGCTAATTTTGAACTGTGTGTCTCAAGCAACACGATTGATTTGTCCTATCTGTGTTTAGAAATGTCACTGAGCAGACGGAGTTTGGCAGCTTGTCCAGTATCAGTGTATGTACTTAAGATACATCAGGCCTTCACTAGCAAGAACTATTACTTATAGGAACTTCCCATTTTCTCTTGGATAAGAGAAAAAAATCCTTTTTTTCTTTATTTCCCCCCCCAACCCCCCAAAAACTCTGAAAATTTAGTTCAGAGTTTGAAGTAGTCAGAACTTAATAGTGAAAGAGTGAAACAATGTTGTGGCTCTCCCACAACATATATTCCAATGTTTTTGACATTTTGTGCACAGTTGATCCCACTGCATACAAAAATTTACAAGTAGAGAAACAAATACTTATTTACAGCCGGCTGAACTGGTCAGAATTATTTCAGGTAAATGTATGTAATTGAAAATATATTTTTATATAGAATGGAAATGTTTTTAAAAGATTTAATTTTAACTAAAATTTTCTAGGTAAAGACTGCTTTGTATAGAAAACATGAAGCAGTTTGATACTTACATTAAATAATGTCCTGTTTGGGTTTGTAATGAAATGTTTTACATATAGAGAAAAAAGAGGACCAGTGTTTGAAAAACACCAAAATCAGTTTTGGGATTCCTTTTAAGAATAATAAAATATTTCAATATTTTTTCTTACTGTCACATACCAATAATAGTGCTGCAGGTGGGTATGCTGCTGCTGCTATGCCATGAGCTAGGAACTATAAAAATAACATATAGGATAAATTTCTCAAATCTACCAAATTAACAAAAAAAAAATTATTCCTACATTCTTTCATTTTACTGCAGTACTACGTTTTTTTCATTTAGCTAAGCAAAAATGATCAAAACTGTATGTTTTCCCCATTTCGTTTCTAGGTGGTGTTTTTGAGGTTTAGTTTTAGTTCCAAATCAGAATGAAACCCTTTTCAGATGTACCGTATTTTCAATTTGAATTACACTGCCAAGAATTTAAAAGGTCTTTCCTTAGTCTTACCAAAAGCTGTTTACTAGTTTTAATATCTAGGAAAAGATGTATTGGTGTCCAGCATTTCTGATGTCTTGGTGATCTAAAACAAGATGAGGATCCTCAGGGAATGTTTGGGTTTTGTACTACTCTTTAAACTTCTCTGATTTGAGAAGTTGGACTGATACTGCACTGGGCTGGATGTTGAGCTGTTCTTTGGACACTTTCTCCTATTTGTATCAGGTCTTTTCCCCCTAGCTGAAAATATCCTTCCATACCCACTGCTCACATAAAAAAGTAAATCACAATTTTAATGTTTGTTACTGCAATGACAAATTCTGTTGTTGTTTTATATCCTGGTCTTGACACTAAACACCGTTTTTCCTGACCTGTTCAGGTTATTTGTGTAGCTCTCACGCTTGGGTAATGCTTGGCCTTATTTAATAATGCCTGTCTGATCATCTATATAGCTATGAAGACTTTAAAAGCAGAAAGACAATGTGCTTGTCAAATGTTTTATCCCTACCAAAATTCTATGGTTGTCATGGTAACTATGGAAAGGAAGAAAGAAAGGAAAAGCAGGTTGTGATTTTCTTAAAAGATAGTATTTCATGGTTGTTAGAAATAAAATTGTGAGAAAATGCAGCACTTTCTTCAGTGCTCTGTAAGGCAAAAAATAATTGCTCTTAATTTTTACAAATAAAAAAAAAACAAATCATGTTTTATGTTCATTAGAAATGACATCAAATCCCCCTTTTCATTTCAGTCCTCCTAGCCCAGGGCATTCCTGACAAAATAACAAAACTCAATTCAACCTGTGTATTTTAACAGCAAAAACCCTTTCATGAACATTATAGTTTTTGAGAGCTCTTTCATTATGTTTTCCTACCTTCTTTATCACCTTACCATCACAAAGGTGATATTTTTCACCCTCTTAAAATAAAATATAATGACTTTGAGTAACCTAAATCCCTTCATAGTGACAAATTACATTATGTTAGAGGGCTCTATGACAATTTAGGAGATTTAAACCATTCTAAAAACCTATGGATTTTGCTGAAGATTTTTTTTTTTTTTCAGAATTGGGTAAATTACCTCCCATTTCCTAATTTACCAAGTTATTTTAAAATAAGCCTAATCAGTACAAAAATGAGTGACAGGATCAGATTATAAAAGAAAAATTTGCTTCCCGTTTTCAATCTAAAGAAAGCTCTTCATTTTAAAGTATTCAATTTGGAGTAGTCCATTTATTTTTTACATTCAACATACAGTTTCTTTCTATGTTGCCTGAGTCTTTCCATCTCCAAAAACTTCTTGGAAATGGTCACATGAAAAATCTATGCAACTGCTAAGTAATAGTACCATTTTGTCACTGTTGAAGAAAGGCTTCAAGAGTCACACACAGGGTGTCTGGAATATACTTTCCTTTTTACAGAAAGGAAACTGTAGGGAACCTGTCCTAAAGACATAGAAAGTCAAGATATAATAGTCTATATGGTTTTTAGTTTCCATGGGAAACATCTACCAGTGTAGCCCAAAACTGTGAGTTTTGAATGAGTCACGTGTCTACTTCGACAATTATTGGAGAGGTGTTTTCTTGCTAATTTGCTGCATCAAACTGGAGGTATTTAATTAGTTCTTCTTTGCATGTTGCTCCCCACTGAACTCAGGAGGATTCTGTCCTTAGGTGACAATAGTATACCCTGCTGTGACTGAATCTGGAATGTGAGCCTGGAATACTTGCCTGGAATACAGTGTTTCTTCAATTCCTGTGATATATTGCAGTAAAGATTTGAGTGAATGATTCAGGTCTTTTAAAATTGAGGTATATATATTTCCAATAGAACATGACAGCTTCATGTTTTTTGTGCACCACTTGAGGGAGAAATCCTGTGAAAAATATAAGTGAGATTTGATTGCCTAGCTAAATACATTAGCATGATGATCACCAGAAATGAATACAAATTGTCAGGGTTGTTTTGATTTTTGCAATTTTGATTTTTGTAATTCCTAGTTTAGAATGCTTGAATTTATGATTTTAATACTAATGGATTTAGATGGAGCTTTATGGCATATAATATATTCATATCTAAAATTCCTTTGTTCAGTAGTTGTCCTGTATCTTCAGTAAATACTTTTAAATAGAAGTTATAAAACTATAAAAAGTATGTAAAGTGAAGTACATAAGATTCATTTTATAAAGAGGCCCTCTGTAGAAAACCTTGAATCTAATAATTCCCATCTGATCCGGTTTAAATGAAACAGTGGGATGAACAAAAGCACATCTGTAAGTAAGGATTTTGATTTTGAAAGGCCAAACTTTAAATAATTGTGAGGACTGATCAGAGACAATGACAGGATTGAGTTTAAGGGCTGTAATATAGAAAAGCCATGCACATTGACTGAAAAGAGTGAACTGTATCTGGAATTTGCAGGCTAAGCAAAGAAGTAAAGGTTGGACACAGCATCCCAGGACTCACAGATTTACATCAGATTTACATCATACCTTCAGACTTGTAAACTTGTAAAAAGAGGAACTGTAAAAATAAAAAAGGATAGTTTTATTTGGTATAGAAAGAGTAAGGGTAAAGATAAAGGCTTTCAAAATATATGCAATACATTAAACAATGAATCTAACCAGAAATATAAAAAGACAAATGATAGAAGGCAGAGGTAATAATGAAATGTAAGATTTTGTTAGTGCAGCTCTAGACTAACATGCCTGTTGTGCTTCAATTTTCAGTACCACTAATGAATCAGAACACCAGCCACTGGGTCTCAGCCTTCCTGCAGGCCAGCCATGTGGCCAGGAGTTACGTGCTGCAGGGCCTCCTATGCCACATCATCTGGCAGGTATAAAACATCGCTTTGGTAAGAATCCCTGTGCAGAAAACTCTTCAAAAAATGACAGAGTAATCTGAAAATCTGTTTTAAATTTCTCTATGAAAGGAGGAATCTGCAGAAAGAAAAGTGTGAATTTCCTTGATTTTATTTCCTGTAATTTTTACATTTGTTGATATCTATCTTTGAATCACGATTGATTTTACTGGTTTAGCCATATCATAGTATTTGTCAAAAAGAAGTGGATTTTAAATAAAGCATAGATATTTTAGAATTCCATCTTGCCGTACTTTAGAAAGAGCTTTCAAAATAAATTAGTTGGATTTTCAACCAGATAATTTAAAACAGGCCTGTTCAAGAACACATAGTATTCTATATATTTATTCTTAAATTATTATTTTGATGGAGGACAATATCCTGGTGCAAGCTTTTTTTTCTGTACAGAGCAAAACAAGTTTCTTCCTCTGTGGAGGACTTCTGCATGGAGTTTACCAGGCAGATATATTTTGCCTTTGCTCACTGAGAACATATAAAAGATTCACATATGTTGTGTTAGAAGAAAATTTAGGGGCTGAAATCATTGTGTAACACATTTAAAGACCACATCACAGAGACACCATCTGCACTTCTCTAGGGGCTTGTTCTAGCTAGAGCCCAGATTTTCCCCAGAAATACTAACATGAGGAAGCTTAATTAACTTTTCCTTGGTCCTCTGTCTTTAGTTTTGCTGAAAAGATGAATTAGTATTTGCATATAGCCAGACAGCTTCCTCACAAATGTTATTGGGTAAGATCTTCTAGTCTGAATAAAATATTGCTGCTAATGGATGTATTTTTTCACATATAGCAATTAAGAAAATATATCCTATGCTTTGTAGCCACTTCTTGTCATTGCCAGCATTACTTCTGATCTGATGGCTCATGTGCTGGGTAGTTTAAAACCACCTATACCAACTCTAAATTTTTAAGAACCTTAGCAGTATCATTTTATAGATTGTTCAGAAGCTTTCAATAGTATTTCTGATTTGTACTTCACATGTTACAGGATTTTTCCACCTAGATCAAGGAACACAGTAAACATTAGATGATCAGAATTACCAGGGGACTTAGATCTAATGCTCATTGAAGTCTCTGTATTGAGAAGCAGGGTGCATTATCCCAGGTGAGATTTATCCCCAGTATAAGAGAGTGAATTTAATATAAGAGCTGGCTGTATGCAGAAATAGTTTTGAAGAATATTATGGGAGCTGAAAAAGAAGCTAAGGCTTTAATGTGTGTCACAAAGTACTTCAGTGTGTCCTAGAGATTTTTTGTTGTATGTTTTTCCTACACTAAAAAAGAAAAGCTATTTTCTCTGCTCTTACTTCTCTCCTCCTTTCCCTGCCCAGCTCTCCATTTCCAGAACAAAATGCACGTTTCAGACACTGGCTTATAGAGCTCCAATCCCTGCATGAACCAAGAAGGAAATGTTTATTTTGTTCACACCGAGGGGTTGTTGTTATTATTCTTCTGAAATGGGACCATGATTTTACCTCAAATATTTATGAACAAACTGTGGACTTCAGGACTTATTGAATTTTGTGAAAAGTTAGAAAGTTAGTTTTGGGAAAAGCTAAAAAATCCTTAAATGTTATTTGCCTAGGATACATTCTCTGGTAAGACTGGTACCACTTGCCACATAGCTGAAGAAAAACCATGGTTTTCTCTGCAGATATATACTTGGTAATTCTTCTTGATCAAAAAATGCTTAAAGCACTAGGCATTTATCACCGTTAGAATTCCATACTTCTGTTTTATGTATTCTGAAGAAAACAGTTGGATCCTGAAGAAAACACCAGGATCCATCCTTGGATTAAAATAATGAAAACAAAGAAATACATGGATGTTTGTAAGAGTATGCTCATTCTGAAGATATGTATTTTTGCAGATTTGTCATCCTTGTACCACCAGACAATTTTCTATTATGTAATCTTCAAATGTTTTTCAGCATCCTAATTAGCAAGTCCTCTCACTCCTTCTCACACATAGCAATTTTCTTTCTTCTGTTTTCTTTTTCTTTTCTTCCATTTAACAATTTAGACAAAGAAATTGGTGTCTATTTGGAGGGATAAATCAAGAGTGGCAACAGCAACAAACTAGTGATGATGACTGTCTTAGAAACGCATGCTTCATTAAAAATTCATTTTTTATTACCTAAATAAATAAATAAATAAATAATTTCTGTGGAACAGTCGGAACTTCGTGGAACTTTACAAACTTAGGCTTCTCTTCTGCTGACTTTTGTGGTGTGATTCTGAGCAATTCTTTTTAACTGTCCTGTGCTTCATTTCCATGTCTTCACAGAGAAGCCAACAGTTCTTTCTATTCCACAGAAGCTATGCGAATAGAAGTGATGATATACAATGTGAAAAATCTATCCAAGGATGAGTGATTTTCTTTTACTTACCTGTTTAATACAATTTTTTCTGGTTTTCAGCTGCTCATTTCTGGTTTTCTTCATGGTCATTTGAAATAAAGAAATACATCTAGGGCACAACTCATCACATCCTAAAGGCAACATCAAAAATAAATGAGCTGAACAATGTGCCTGTTCCTCTCCACTGATTCCATAGGAAATCTCAGGTGTAAATGTGCAAATATCTGTAACTGCAGGTATTTGGTCAGATTACTCAGTGAAAGAATTCCAAGCTTCTTATAATAAGGAAGTTCTATTGAAGTCAAGAGAGCACCTGCAGGCTAAATCACTGCCTATCACAGAATGAGAGAAAAACAGTTTCAAAGAGACTTCAGGAGGTCATATACTGTGTGCTTTTGCCCACAGGCAAAATCATCTGTACCTGCCAACTCTGATAGATGCTTATCTACCCTTAGAGATTTCCATGCAGAAAAACCATGGGCAATTACCCAGGCAAAGATATACCATCTTCTGAGTGGAGGTGCCCATTACTGAAGTGTTTATCAAAGTCATATATTGTAGACATATAGAAAATTTAAATGTGTTTCAGTATTTTGCTCTCCTTAAAATGGTGAGGGAGGCAGCATGGCTTTCCATGCACACCTTGAAAATTCAAACCCAGCTGTCACCTGTAGTCTTGAGATAATATATTTAAGATGTTGGTTTTTCATCAGTAAAAGAATTGTGGGTTACATTTACAGCCAGGAGCTCTGCTCCTTTTATGCATACCTCTTTACTTTCAAAAAAACAGACACGTCTGCAAATGTCTTTCTGAGAAGGACTTTCTTTTATAAATACCCATATTGAAGTCATGAGTGTACTTGTAGACTAAATCACTGTGTATCACAGAATGAGAGAAAAACAGTCTGAAAGAGACCTCAAGAGGTCATCTACTCTGTGCTTTTGCCCACAGGCAAAATCAACTGTACCTGTCAACTCTGATAGATGCTTACCTAAACTGTCCTTAGAGATTTCCAATGACTGAAATTCTAAAAGCTCTTCAGGCAATCTGTTTGAGTGTTGTCATGATCCATGTAATTAGAAAGTTTTACTTAATATCTATCTTAAATCTTCCAAGCTGTAATTCAAACCCATTTATTCAGTTTCCATCCTCTCTAGGCAGGGAGAACTGATTGTTTTGTTCTTCATTCCAGAAGCATTTTACATTCTTGCAGATCATAACAATGTTATCCTCTTTTATCTGTTTTTTATTCCTGAAGCATTCATAGTAGTAAACTTTTTCAGTTCCTCCTTCCTGGGTTTTTGGTTTTGAGGTTTTTCCAAAGTGCATTAGTACATGTTTTAAATAGAAAATGTAAGGGCATCCTTCCAGTGTTGGTGTATATCAGGTGTAGGTCCCAAGGTTTTGGTGTCAGGAAGGGAGCTACAGGGGTGGCCTCTGTGAGGAGACCAGGGGCTGCCCCGTGTTGGACACAGCTGTTTCCAGCTGGATCTGTAACAGACCAACCAGGGAAGTGCTGGAGCCATCAGCCAAGCTGGTGGTGCCCTTGGCAAATCATATTTATTGACAAGCAAAAACCACACAGCAGTGAGGAGTGAGGGGAAAAAAAAAAATGGCATAAGAAATAATCCAGCAAACACCAAGAACAGAGAGAAAGGAAGGAAAACTGGTACTCCAGGTATGGATGCTAGCTTTGGAACAGGCTGCAGGGAGCTGCAGAAACTGCAGGCCCATAGCCTCTCAGTCCTGCCTGAGAAGCTAGCCTGGGAATTCAAAGGAGGATTTCAAAACAATCCTCAGAGACAGAAAACGACTGCCAGGTGCTGTTTGTCTGTCCTTTTGTTTTCCTTGCAGGAGAGAGTCAGGGGGGTAAAGTGCCCCTGACCAATGATGGTGATGTAGCACTTTGTTAACCAATAAGAGTTTCTTTTCTGTACTTTCCACGTATCTGTCTATAAGACAGGGCTGAGGCAATAAACAAGAAAGAATTCTCCTGTTGAAACTCCCTTGAGAGTCCAGTGTAGTTCTTTCTAGCCGTTCCCAATCGGAACGACACTCCAGGTACTGGAGCACTTTCCCTTGTGGCCTGTGTAAACATGCTGGTCCATATATTCACACTGCAGTCTGTGGAAGACCCAGTGTTGGAGCAGGTTTTAACCGGAAGGACTGTAGCCCATGGAAAGGAGCTGTTCTGGAGCAAGGGAAAAGTATGAAGAGAAAGAAGCAGCAGACAGAAACCATTACGTACTGATCACAATCTCCATCTCCATTCCCCACCTTCCTTGCAAAACCTGATGAGGGAGGAGGTCAAAGCATTGGAAATGAGGGAGCAAAATTGAATCTGGGGGTGAAAAGTGCCTGTTTTATTTTTATCTCACCATCTGGTTAAAATTTTAATTGTTGAGGAATTAAATTAATTTTTCAAAAATTGAGTTTGTTTTGCTTGTGACACTAATTGGTGAGTGATCTCCTTGTCCTTATCTCCACCCACGAGTGTTTTAAGCTTATTTACTTATTTACTACAGGAATGGGAGTGAGAGAGAAGCTGGGTGGGTGTCTGGCAGTTACCCAAAGTCAACTCACTACATTCCCACTACAGAATAATCTTTTATATTAAACATTGCTTTTTAAATACATTTTATATATTTAATCTAAAAAATGAAAGTCAAATAATAAGCCTTTTCCTGTCTTATCTTTCTATCTCAACTCCATATTTTAAAAAAATACAAAATATAATTCAAACAACTGGACTTCCCTGTGCAGAACTCAAAAATTTAAACCAACCATCTAAACCCCTAAAACTTCAGATCATCAATTATTTCACTTGCAAGAAGCAAACCAAAAAATGCTCCTTATTTTACTTTAGAAAAATCAGTCATTACTAAAAATTAGATTAAAAATCCAGCCCACTCTCCTGATGGCTGTAATTCTGGTTAATTATGTTAATTCAGAAGTGTCAATTAACCAAGATGTAATTTCAGCCATCCATTTAGGAAGAAAATAAAAATGTTCAAAATAGTGGGAGTTTTGTATTTTTACTTTATTGCTTTAATTATTTTAGAAAGAAATTACAAGATTTTAAGAGAATTTTGCCCATAATGATAATGGTATTATATTTTTTTAAATGGTTTATATTTTTTAAAAAAAAGCATTCAGCCTTAAGTCACATCTTTCAATATAACTTCAGAGTCTAAAATGATGCTTTAAATCTGAAGTTCTTTTTTAGCATTTTATCTTGGAAGTATATTGAGTTTCCATAAAACAAATACGTAATTAGGCTACAAAGAGAGAAATTGCCTCATCATTCATCCTTCATAATTAGCATGGTTGGGTTTTATGAATTAATATGTGCATTCATGGGTTCCTGGCTCTCCTTACTTCAGTGTGATAGTGTTGAGAAAGGTGACAGATTTACAGCGGGAAAAAAAATTGTAATACAGTTTCTTTCTTGTAAGTTATTTATGACAAGAGAGTTAATATGAAGAGCTAGGAAGTGCAATTTATATGGGTTTATTGATTAAAGTAAAATTATAGCACGGGGGCTGTAGAGTAAGACATTTTCTTGAGAAACAGATGATGAACAGGATCTGTGACATAATTTCTGTTTCAGTCTTATCATCAATCAATTGAAATATGCTCCAAAAAAACTCACAGAAGGCCCAGGCTTCTCCATTACATTTCTGGTGGTATTACAGTCAGCACTTCATAGAAGTGGAAAGGTTTGTTTGGAAGGTGGAACCTTTTAAAGGTTATCTAGACCAACCCCCCCACCATGGGCAGGGGCACCACCCACTACACCAGTTTGCTCAGACCCCATTGACTCTTGCCTTGAACTTTTCCAAGGATGGGGCACCCACAACTCCCTGGGAAACTCATTCCAGTTCCTTACCACCAACTTTTTTCCTTATGTCCAATCTAAATCTACCTCTTCACTGACCTTGGTGCCTGCAGAGCTGTTTCTCTCACATATTCCCACTTCTATCCCCTGGCTGCTGTTGTACAGCAGGCTTAGTCAGCTTCTAAGATGTGTTATCCCAGACACGCTTCCACTGCCAGTGATGGACCTGCCCTTGGGCAGCAGCTGGTCCACCTGGCAACTAGCCGAGTTTGGGTCTCTCCAACGTGGGCAAAGCTTCTGGTGTCTTCTCACAGAAGTCGCCCCTGCTTCCCCACAATACCAAAACTTGCCATTAAAAACCAATACACAACTACTGTCTAATTTTTCATCCAACAATATCCCCAAGTCCTCTGCAGGGATGCTCTCAACCCTATCATCACCCAGGCTATGCTGGTGATTCCCCTGACACAGGTACAGGACCTTGCACTTGGTCTTGTTGAATTTCATGAGGTTCATGCAGGCCCACCTCTCAAGCCTGCCAAGGTCCCTCTGGATGGTTGTGGACATGATTTTCTGAAACTGAGAGAGTTTCAAGCTCTCAGGGGCTGATCTGTTCCCAAGGGAAAGTCTTTTGGGAACTTTTTTCTCTCTCAAGGACTGTTGTGAAAACAAGTGAAAACAATGTTTTAGTTTCCCAAAACAAAGACACAGATGTTCTGAGAGTTTTTCTCTTGTCACCAGTGGGAGGAGGGAGGCGTTGTTCCTTCTACCAGTCAGGTTAACCTGTATCAGAACACATTATAAAAAGCGTTGAAAAGCCCAAAATAAAGGCTTTTGCCTCCTGAAATAAACCTCTGGCTGCTGTTTTTGATTGAGCCCTCGCTCCCTACTCTGGGTCCACTAGTGACAGATGGGATCCCTTTTCTCCAGCATATCAGCTATACAAATCAGCTTGGTGTCATCTACTACTTGAGAAAAATAAATTTGTTACAGAATTACAGAATCACAAAATGAGTCAGGTTGGAAGGGACCTCAGTGGGTCATGTGGTCCAACATCCCAGAGGATCATCCCAGAGCACATTACACAGAATTCTATCCAGATGGTTCTTTAATATCTCCTGTAAAGGGGACTCCACAACTTCCCTGGGCAACCTGTTCCAGTGCTTGGTCGCCCATACAGTAAATAAGGTCTTCATCATATTTAGCTGGAACTTCCTGTGCATCAGTTTCTGCCCATTGCCTCTTGTCCTTGCTTGGCATTACTGAGCAGAGCTCCATCCTCTTGACACCCT